ATTGAAAAAATACGTTCTTGTTTGGCTATAGTATTGGCTGTAGTATGTGTAAGTTTAACAAACAAACGGAAACTTACTCGGCCCGAGCATTCAAAAAGAAAGCTCACTACTCAGGCGTGCTGGACCTCACAGTGCTGCGCACGTGCAGACGCCTTGCTCTCGTCGGCTTTCAGGATGGATCACTGCTACCCGGCAGCAGAGGGAGATGTTCCAAACCGACGGCAGTTTGGAGGAAGGTGTTGGGTGGAGTCCAGGTTTGACGGTCGCGGGAATTTGCACTTTCCAAAACCACCCGGCGTTTGGAGACGGTTCACGTGCATTTTACTTGGGTATCGTACCCTTTCTCATGAACATGAGCAGGCCTGGAGGGAACGGAATCAGGCAGCATCTAGCTAACATTGGCTTCTCGCGCTCTTGATTGTATCGCAGCAGACTTCAGAAGTTCGAAGTGGCATGTGTGCTGCTGGCAGTGCTTTGACCATCGGGCAGCCAATTGCATGATTAATGGTCACGCTCAAGCTGTGCGTGCTCCTTTATTCTAGAAAACCAATTATGTAGTGCTTGTATGCCATATTGGGCCTGTTGACGTCTGAAGGTTGGTTTGAGCGTAGGGGCCGACAACACTATCAGGTTGAATGCCAACATTTGCAAGCATTGATGCAGGCATTCGCACTCCAAAGTAGCAATACGCAGAAACAAGGGTGGGAACATTTGCGACCCAGGACGGCCGCACAAGCTTGCAAACCTTAGCCCTAGACAAGAAGAGCCCTGTCAGCCGAATTCTTGGAGATTTTTGATTTTGAGGTACGAAGCTTGGGTTTGAGTTAGACCCGGAAGCTCCAAAATCTGCTCTCGACCCTTAGACTGAAGAGCGCCCCTGCCCAAAGCCTGCTCAAGAAGTTTAGAACCGCAGCCACCAGAAATGACATCCTTGCTTTGTCATCCAGGCGCTTATGGGACCTCGAGAAAGGTGCCCTGTTGGTAAACCTGGGCCTGTCTGCCTTCAGAGAAACCCGTGGCTTTCAGAAGCTTGGTTGTGAAGGACTCGGGCAAGAGTTTGTAAAATTGTAGAACAGAAGAAAGGCCTTTCGAGTGTCCAGGGTCTTGACTCGAAATGAGATGGCCAAGGCTTCTTTCGCGCAGGGTTCGAACGAGGTGCTAGCAAATGCCCTAAGTACTGCTAACACGTGCCTCCGACATGCTGCCTGCTTAGCATGTTCAGTAGCGCCGACAGATGATTTTGTACTAGTTCATGTGTCAAGGCTGAAGTGTGCCAAGAAGAACGTGAACTTGCAGGGACATTGAGCACAACCTGCGAGCACCGACAAGAGTCACAAAAACAAAGGTACCAAAGTTGTCACTGTCGAAGATGAAGCATCGTTGGAAAACTGACTGCTTCAGGCGTTCTGGCGTGCCAGCTCCTGGCCAAAGGGCCGACAGTGACAGGTTGGCCGCCTACTTTGACCCAGGATTTAAGAGTTCAGGTGCGTATGTGTAAGGAAGTGAGATAACAACAAGGGGACACAACACAAGCTCGACTAACAGAAGGTGGTTTGGATGCCCTGCTCCTCATTAACGGCCTGCTGCCTGTTGGCAGATTGGGCATGAGTCGCCCAATGGTATGATGAAATCCTGTCCGGTTGTCCAGACTGTTCGGGGCTGGCTCGTCTAGCTCGTTAAAACCTTATTTGGGGTCCTTGCCTACATGACTGGAAACCCAGTGCCAAGCCTGGAGGAGTCCATGGCGATCATTTATATGCAGAGTATACTGCTTATGCGTGGTACTGTCTGCTGCTGAAGGCCTGAACCATCTAAACCTGTTTCGTTTTTCGCTGCGTACCCTGTTTCGAGACACCCCGCAGGCCTAGAAGTCGATTGGGAGAGCCGCAGAGCTCTGTCAGGACTCCGCCATGAAGCCCATCCCCTTAGCAAGGCCTAAACCGGGCCTGGCTTGCTCGCAGTTGGGCTTCGAGTATTTCGGATTCGTGTCACATCCGGTTCTATGATCTTCACAGGCCAGGGTCTCCGAGCTCGTCCAGCGCTACTGTAGTGCAGGTTGGTGGGCTAAGGGAGTAACTAGTAAGCCGAAATGGTACCGTTTGCGATAAATGGGTTGATTGCTCTCGCTTCCACTTTCAGGAGACATGAGCCACAACGTGCGGCACTGGGATTTGGATCAGGGCCGCTGCTGCTCGGACGACAACGAAAGTATGTGAGTGAAGAGTTTGTGAAGATGGACTATTGAAACAATGCTTGTCGAGAGCGTTCAACAGCATGAGGTTGGACTTCGGCATGTGCTGTGCTGCAAGATTAGGCCTCCATTGCATGGCTGGCCATCGTGACATCATCAACGGCGCCTGCGGCCCAGGGCTTCTTCTTCCTGAGCGCGGGATTTGGGGCTTTGGCATGAACTCTTAACGCACCCTTGCCTCGCAACATCCTGTAGTATCCTGCAGTCTATCTTCAACAACGGCCTGCCACCCGACTAGCGGGCTGTGCTCGTAGAATTCCATGTGCAGACATCCAGGGCATGACAGGTAAAGGCAAAGGTATACCTGATCCCAGGGAGATGCAAACGGCACATAGCCAGAACCTACCAGAATAAGGCAAACCATCTAAAACTCCCCGAGCCTCATGCATCTTCATGCACAAGTTTTGAAATTAGCAAGAGCCACACATCAGAGCCACAGCCCGTAAGCGGAAACCCTTCGACAACTAGAACTAATCTAGAACGCCGAACCCTTCAGAAAGCCCAGGTGTTGGTGGATTGGAAGAGGCAGCAGGCTGCCACATTTGACCGGGCAGGCCCATCGCTTACGGTCGGGTCCAAATTGGGTTAAGGCTTGCGCTGCCTGTTCATTGTGCTTTTTGATAGTTATGTTGATTGCTTGACAGTCCATCTGGGCAGCAGAGGCAGCTTAGTGCCTTAGAGGCTTTTGGGGCAGGGGCGTTCGTGGAAACAATTGTGGTTCCTTCCATGTCAGTCAGACTTCTGATATTGGTTCGGAGCACATCCCAAACTGCTGGAAGATTGGGAATGAGCTCATTTTGAGGGAAGCCGTTCACGTGCCCATAAGGTGAGTAAGATTTGTAGATCTCGCAAATCAAATCCAGACTCCTAACGAAGCCAAGTCCTTGAACATCATCAACCAAGCAAGCACAAAGAAGCAAAAAAGAAACTGTGCAAGGTCCTTGTCCTTCACCCCTTTTAAGAGCTTCACACATCAAGATCCTGTACAATTTCGCTCCAAACTCGAGGAGAGGCCTCCAAGCCTTAAGTTAAGGCCTTCTCATCTTCTGGGACCTGATGCAGGGGTTGGCTTCACACACGAACCAGCAGCTGCACTAAGGGAATATCTCTTTGATGGGGCTAGAAATCTGTAGCAATGATGTGAATCATGGCAGAATCATAGCACTGATGCATTGGCGGGTCTTGCTACAATCGCCGATGTTCGGGAGCCTACATGACTGTTGAGAATTCCGAGCCTGTGTGTTGTTCAAGAGATCTGTGTATTCAGCGCTGCTTGCAAGCATGCCTTGAACGCGTCCCAGATGAGCCAAGGATTCTGGCTCATGAAGGCATGCGTGCTGCCACGTGGGCATGAGGGACTTGCCAGAAGTCATGGGGTGAGTTTGGCACAAGGCTGTGCATGTGCGAACTTGACGTAGCAGGGGGATTCAGGGAACTTGCGTACATGGAGGTTCTCATGCACAACCAGAGCTCTACGCAATCAGAACTACTGATACCTGTTACTGCTGTAGCTCCAGAGATTCTCCAGTCCAGGCGAAATTGGCAAAGCAAAGCGGACAGATTTTGCCCCCGCAAATCATGGTCTTCTTCAATCCAACGTCCCAACCCTTGTGCAGCACAAGCCCAGGGTAAAAGGGCCGAAAGAGCATGTTTGTTCTCATTTCTAGAATTCAGAATTTGCATTCTGGCTGCTTCATCCAGATCTTGCAGGTGACTTGTTCTTTTTGGTGTTTCCCAAACCTGCACTTGTAGGCATGGTGCTGGACGCGGAGGTTGACTGGGGCGACATGGCGCGCAGCGACTCTTGGCGAAGAATACGAGACTTGTACTCCATGATAAAGTTTCTCTGAGAAGTTGTTTGAAAGGTGAGTTTTGAACTGAGCACGCAGAGACTGGTCTTTTTAAACTGTGCGCCAGGTGACTGCTGGATCCGATAGCCGAATAGCGGCTTGGGCGGGCGAGCGGCAGCTGTGCAGCATTCACCTGGAAGGCGCGACCTCTGAGCTGTTGTCACAGGGCTTCCTGTTGTTACAATGGAGGAATTTGGGGTGTTCACTTAAACTGGTTAACTCCATTTCTTAGCACTCCATTTCTTAGCACAACGGCTGACTGCAAACACTGTCGAGCTTCCATGAACAGGCGATGGAGACTTGAACGACTTGGTGGATGGGGGCTTGGAGGTCGATTGGGAGGAGTCCCTCAGCCTCGTTGCCTGCTGGCTGCTAGCATCAATCCAGCTTTTGATGTCCGTCCGGGTTAGGGTGTCCCTGAGCAAATCATCTGTAAGTAAAATGACACAGTTCGCAATTCAAGAATGGCCAATCATCATGCGCTGCAGCTACATGCAAAACATGCAAGTGGCATCAGCTTCGGAGAGAAGATGTTGCCGGTCTCCGTTAACCCATGCAGGAAGATCTCGTGACTGAGAGTGCAGCGGGATAGCCATGATCTGGCAAAGCTCCCCCCCAAAAAAATGTCCTGTGAGGAATGGTGAGCTTTGCGTGTGGCAGCTGTCTACTGGCGCTGCTATGCACAAGCTGCGGGCTCCTTCAGGCAAGATGGTCCTGCAAGCGTGGTCCCCTGTGCCTTGATCATGAGCATAGGTTATCTCAGCTCAAGGGCAAGTGCTCAGGCTCCAAACCTTGGGTGCAAATACTGCTTCTTTAGCCCCGCTGACCTTTGGTAGTTCGACTTCGAGGTTTCACTTGTTCGGGACAGAGCAAGACTGAAGCTGGGAGGCAGCATCAAGGGCTTCAACGTGGATTGGGGCTCTTCACGCTGCCCCTTTTCTGAATCCAAAGTGCAACGGTGCGGCGGCAATCGCGGGCCGCCACGCAAGCCCAAAGAAACTGTACTGCTTCTACTTTTGTTGCCAATGCGCTTGCTTCGGGTGCCAGCAGTCATCACAAGTGTAGAAGTCTTCTTATGACGGGCGTTGTGACACTTGGCCAATCGTCTTCCTAGTCCTATAGTCCGCATAAAGCTCTGCATATGACGTGCGAGCGGGTAGACCCACTACTGGAGTATGTTGCAACCCTCAGATACGCAGCAGGGCGCGAAGTGCCCGTGTACGGGGTACGTGTGGTAGATCCGATGTAAGCTTTCCCAGGCGTTTTTCTTGGAAGTGTTACTCACGGAAAAGGTGCAGTTTTGCAACTTGCTGGCATGTCTAGACCCCAGTGACTCTAGTTCCTGCTGCTGCGAGCTGCGAGCAGCCTATTGCCGCATGTATTTGAAGTGTTGTTAGGGTCTCGAACTTGCTGGGGTTTGGGACTCTGTCTTCTTGAACTTCCCGAGTGCTTCCTGCCGGCCTGGTCCGGCACCAAGCCACTCCCTGCACCCAGGTATTGCCTGGGGCTCTCGTGGGCAGCACCTCAGTTCAAGCTTTCCTTCGGATGCACTTTTTGTTTTGCCTCTGATGGTTGAACAGAGCGTCGAACTTCTCAGCGTGTCTTGTTGGATGCTGCATGGGGCAGGTAGGTCAGCGTGAGGAGTAGCGGCGTAGTCTGACAATGTGACAATGTCTGACATCAGTTTATGAGTCGGGAAGTTCGGGGCCTGGATTTCGGAACTAGTTGAGGGAGCTCACCCGAGATGCTGGTTCAGATAAGAAATTGCCCCCTGCCAAGTTGCCCCGTTTCAAGCTTGGGGGGGTTTGTTGAATTACAGCCAGAACTAGTCACAAGAAGATTTGCACTGTTGCGAACCCTTGTGTTCTTTTATAGTTCGGCGATCCAATATGACATGACCCCACTATACTACGACCCCGATTCTGGGGACCCCCAAATAGGGCTTGATTGAGGTGCCTGCTGTGGTGCTTGATGACGGGCCAACTGCTAGAGAAGCTGGTGGGCCACTCTCAGGCTTCATTCTATTTTTGGGATCAGTAATATTTTTATGATGCTTATGATTATGATTATGGTTATCATTATTATGATTACTTTGTTTTATTGTCATGACTGTTAGTATGATGGTTGTTATTAGTATAGTGATTATGATTATTCTTATGGTTATGATTGTTATGATAGTAATTTTTATGATTATTCTTATGATTCTTACTATGATTATTATGACTATTAGTATTAGTATTATGAGATTATATCGTTATGATTGCTGTAATGATATCGGTTCCTATTCTTATTGTGATTGAGTATTATTACTGTCAGTATGATTACTGTTGTTATCATCATGATGATTATTCTATGACTGATATCATGAGCATTATTATGATTACAAATTGTTATCATGACTATTAGTATTATTGTTATGACTGTTGTCGTTGTATTTTCTTGTGGGATGCATAGGGATACTGAGGGAGTTATGCCCAGATTTGGTGGTAGTTGCAGTATGACACATTGAAATCTTGAAAGCAATGTTCTGAACTCAAGGTGTGGAATGCAAGGATAAGTCCAACTGGTTGCTTGTCATGTCATGACTGCTCAACAGCCTGAGCAGCACTCTCGTGTTGTGACCGTCCATGAGACATGACAGCAAGACACGAGTAAGTACTCATGTTGGGCATTTCATCATAGCAGCAGGCACGAACAAGAAGCCTAAGCAAGCAGGCAATTTCGGGGATGGCCTGCTCTTGGGAGAAGGAGCGTGTTCTCAGCTACGGTGCCGGGCCTCTGTGCTTGTGGACACTTTGGAAGGCACTCATCAACTCATAAACGTTTGTGGAACGAGAATTGATGGTTTCCTCCACTGTTAAGGATGCATCCGGGTGGCAGTCTGGCCATAAGCAGAAGCAGACACATGTCAATGTCAATGTTCTACTGGGCTGAGTTTGCTGAAGCACGGTTTTTGTCACTCCTTTGAGAACTGTGATGAAAGATGGTTGGTTGCCTGATTCTGTACTACTATTATTACGGTTGTGAGAATTTCTATTATGATTGTTAATATGATTATTACCATGGCTATGCTTATTCAAGCCCAGGAGCCTGTCCTCTGGGCCCCTCTGCTCGCATCTGCTGGGCCACAGCGACGTGGTGGCAGGTGTGGAGGCCTTCAGAAACCACCCAATTTGCTCAGCTCAGAGACAGATGCATCGGCCCAAAAACAGTGGTGTGCCAACATGTTGCAGATTCTTGCTGAACCCCAGCTAGCCTTTTTTAGCTACACGGACGAACGCCGCTTTGCCCAGCATCTTCGTTTCCGACAGGTGTCTTGGGAGGAGGATCGAGCTGTCAGCTGGGCGGATGACTCAACCTTACGGCTCTGGGACCTCAAGGACTCCGAAGTATTGCTAGTGCTTTGGAGCTTCAATTTGCTGCTCTGGAACTCCTGCGCTTCGTGACACTGATGTACGTCCCAAATTCCAGGAGCGCGTGTGCCTATGCGAATTCCGCGGCCATGCCGGGCCCGCCTCCTGTCTGCTCCCAGGGCTTGGTCAAGACTGACGAATGGTAGCAGGTGGGAGCTAGACCAGTGCAACTGTCATGGCCGCAATGTCAGAGCAAGAGAAGCTGAGACAGCAAGATCAAAATCAACAACCCCAGGATAACTCGTGAGACGAAGACAGATAGTAATAGCTGTAACTGGTAGCTGCAGAAGCAACCATCATCATAATCCAGTTGTCCATGGTTCTGTTTGGGTAGCGGTCACTGTCAGAGGTCTCTGGCTCCGACGAAGCTCACATTATGTGCAATAATCCTGCATGCCCAACACAGCACGTTGCCTTGAGACTGACACGTCGCCATGCCGGTGGTTCATGAGGTCTGGTCAGCCCAAGTGGACTGGGATGGTGGCCGCATGCTCAGCTACAGCGCCCTGGCAGATGATGTCAGACAAGAGCCGGTTTGACCTTGGATGTCCACCATGGACCATCTCAATTCTTACGCAGGGGTCAGAGTCTGCCCGCGTAGCTCATATCATTACTTGGTTGCAGGAACAACTGAGGAAGCTATGTTTCTCCTTGCTGACGACTCTTGCTTTGTTGAACCCTTTTACAGAATGCTGTTCTCCGGGGTTGGCTAGCAGGAAGCACCTGCTGGATTCTGCCAGAAGGATAAGCGATGGCAAGAGTCTTACAGAGCGGCCCCTTCAGTTGCTGAGAGGCAGATCCTGATGCAGCGGCCGAGGCATCAAGACACCCAGAACTGTAAACATGACGGGACAACCGACCCCTTTAGTAGGCCCTATAGGCCCCAGTGGAAATCACTGTCATGGATGGCCTTGGCGTTAAAGTCAGAGCTGAGGCTTTGCCCAACGAGTTCTGTTTTTGTGGGACCTCAAGACCGGTGAGCCGCAGAAGCATCCTGGCTAAATGTGGAGAATTGATCTGATTTGCATCTGCTCTTGCACCACGGATGCTTCTATGGGCTCTTTCTGCCTAAGTCTTGTGCAGATGAAAGTATGAAACGTCCGTGGGCAATCGTTTTGTTGAGAATTCCTGGGACATGAACCGAGCTGTATGTCAGCTCTTGTGGTCAGGCCTTGGAGAAGCAATATCAAGCTTAATCAACCCTAGACGATTGAGAGAGAGTGGGGGATATGGGAAGATACTGTCTGATTACCTCCAGGTTTCCTCACTGGTCCAAGTAGTGGTGCCTTCCCGCAGTGTCCAGGTTCCCGCTGGGCCAGAAGGTGATTGCTTGGACAGGCGGTGCAGAGGTAGATTGGGCACGCTTCTCAACTTGATATTGCGGCTTCGGATTCAGCCAGAGCTCTGCGGCTGTCAGATTCTGATGCAGGGTCGTGATCGCAATTGGGTGTGTTTTGTTTCTGACAGACTGGCCGGGTCTTAGTGGTGTTCTTTGATGAAAGCTTGGCGGGCTGTTGCGGGCAGTTCCTGTGATGATACTACTCCAAGAACGGGGGTGGGAACACAAAGCTCCATGCATGTCGTCAGCATCATGGAAAACCGTGCGCAGTCACAGTAAAATCCAGCATGGCACGAAGCCAAGCTGCCCATCTTGGAGCTACTGTATGATTACATGAGATAACGCACCCCTCACAATGACTTGAGTGTGCTTCAATACCTCCATCCCTGCACGCTCATCTGGGTTTCTCTTGGAAACGCCTTGAGGCCATGTGGCTGTTGCTTGGAGCCTCAACGACAATGCGCTCGTTGTGGCCGAACCTGCGCTGCAGTGCTTTCCAATCTACAGCATTCCCTCATATCCCCTCCAATCCGTGAGCATGTGGGCGCAATGGCACCAGAATGTTCTCGCCACCTTCCCTTGGCACAAAAACGATTACGTACAGTGATTACATATCAGGTTGTCCGTTCCTGTAGCCATAAACTGAAGACACAAGCCTCCCAGCAGCAGAATGGAGTGAGAACCCACGAGCATCAGCTCAGAAGCCCAGGATTTTCGTACCGGAGCCGTCCGCGAGCTTTGTGGCACCTCTGCAGCGTCTTGCAGCAAATGAGTCGGAAGCTGGCCATACCAGTGATTCGATTTCATAAGCAAGCCTCCCACTCTCTTTTGAAAGGTTTCGTTTGCTCATTGTTTGCAGTGGTGGGCAGGGATTGATTAGGGCGACATCCGGACGCATCCGATGCTTTGAATGTCAGGTGACCTGCGTTCGTATGGAGGGCGCCGCTGGTTCCTGAAGCAAAAGCTGTAGTCCGTGCAAAGAAGGGTTGCCACGGAACACGTTGACACCGGGAGAGGCATGCTGCAGTGTATCCCCTTGTTCAACAGGCCTTGATCTGCTAACAGTGAAATTGGGATAGTAAATCTTGACGCCAGAATCGGCTGATTAGGTGGGTGGGCAGGATACCCACAGGCCTTGATGTGAACCATCATCTTGCGCAGTTGCCATGGGACGAGTTAAGCCTTTCAGCTGCTGCATCTGTCAACCGCAGGATCTTGAAGCCGAGCTCTCTTCTACACACATCGAAGGCTCATCAATCGGTGTTGGCGGGCGAGACCGAGCTTTTTCTGAAGCGCTGTGCTAGCAAACCCGGACCTATGTAATCTTGACATGTTTCCCGGGCGCAGCCAGCACCAAAAACTAATGCAGCTTCGTTTCAGACGGCCAAGTTGCAAAGCTATGTTTGAATAATTGAATGGTAGCTGAGAACACACAGCTGTAATTTATAGCTAGGTTGAAGAGGAGATGATTAAGTCGGTAATTAGGACGAGCTTCAAGCTTCCTACAGCAATAACTTGAAGCCTTCCAGGTCCACCGCCGCGGCTAAGACTGTCCCGGTGTGCTTTGGCTATTGCAGGCGTCTGCGCCTGCGCCCGGGAACCCAGACGGATTGAAGCAACAGCCTAGTAACACAGAAAGAGCGTAATGGTTAGTCTTCCTCTCTCTCTCTCTCCCGAACACACACGCCAGGAAACGTTCCTCAAAGTTCTGTGGCCTAATGTTTTTGTGTTTTGCCAAGATGTGCCAAGTACTCTTAGACTGTCGAATGTTGCCATGGTGTGATTTCATCACAGAAAAGTGGCTGGCCGTCTTTAGGATGAGCATGAGGGTCATACTTCAGCAAACTATATTGCAGGGGCAGGTGCCTTGACTTCAGTCCCCGTCTGTAGTTCAGCTGCACATACAGGTGCAAGACTTGGGAATACAGTTTCCCTTTACAGTAGCTGGGGGACCATCGTGAACATCGCGTTCCGTTCTTCTTCCTCAATTTTCGTCAGCACTACTTAGGCCACAGCAGCCCTGCTTTGCCAACCTGGTGTGGTGCGATCAGAGGCAACTCAACGTATCCGTTGAGAATGCCTGCCAGTTGGGTTGCCTTTCCAGCATTGTCGTGCTGATGCGTCAAACTTGGCTGCAGGCGTGATGTCAGACAGTTTAAGGCACACGCCACATCAGGCGTTCTGTTGGGATTGGCTTGGGGATCGGCTGATCCAGAAGCCAGTCGAGTAAAGCCTGAACTGGATTGCGAAGTAGATGGTAATCTGACTTTCAGGATGAGACACCTTTGAAGTCCTGGAACCTGTCTCAAAAACAGACCGATGATTTAGTCTTTGTGGACATCAGCTACCAGGGACTAACATCTGCGACGCTCAGATGCATTCGTTGATGCGTCTCCTGCTTGATGCAGTGTTGCAATCTGTCACACTTACGCGACGGCAGCCTGGCAGGCTGTGAACGTCCTTGGGCTCCAGAAGAAGTACGAGGCATCCGTTGCACACGCTTCACAGGGTGCCTCAGAGCCGCAGCGTTGCATCACAATGCAGTATTTCTGTGCGGGCTCAGTGCCGGGTCTGCGCGCTGCAGCTGACATGTCGCAAGCATAGTCTCACATGGTGATTGCTCAGCAAGGCCATAGGATGCCCAGAAGATGACAGGAACATGGGCTGCACCTCGCGGCCATTTCGGCACAAAGGAGAGGGACTAGATTAAGATAATGAGCTGTTATTCCTTTGCGAACGGAAAAAGGATTGAGGACATTGCAACCCGCAACCCTGCCTACCTCTCTCCTTGCAGTATCTCATCTACTGCAAGCCGAGCATACTTGTAGATTCAGACTTTGGATCCAGCTGCAATTGGCATGACCTGCCGCCATCCTGGAAATCCAACAGGTCCTGCGTTTCTGCGCATCGAGGCATGATGAAAGTTGCAAAGTGGGGAGCTCATGATAGTTTCTCCCCGCAAGAATTCGAGTTGACCCGTGCGAGCCATGCAGATCTTCGTAAAGACCTGCACGGGCAAGCGCCCACCACTGGAAGTGGAGGCATCTGACACGGCTGCCTGGTCCTGTCCCATAATCTGGCTCCACCTGCTGCCACACTGCGGGGTCTTCATGCATGCAGCATGATCATTCCTCAAGCTCTTACTTTTTGCTAGCGCATGAATTCCGAATGCCGATGCTAGTCAGCTAGTTATGTCTCAGAGGGAAGTATATGGGTGGCTGAGCTCTTTAGCAGGGTCCGGCTTGCAGGAACATTAGTTTCGTGCCGAGAGCTGGAGTGCAGGATTCCTTGCCGAGTGTGTCAAGAACGATCGAATGCACACCATGCGCATTCAAACTTGCCGGAGTTTTTCACGCCTGTATTCAAGCCCCAACTCGTTTGCCTGCAGAGACGTGTATATTGTGCACGCCGAGGTTAGTACTGTGAAGGAGCAGATCTGCAGCAAGGATCAGGGTTCCGGGATAATTTTGTCAGGTTTGCAGACTTGCTACACATCTTGCCGCATTTTGTAATGTGCTTTTTGTAGACATTGACATGCCATCCGAGCATGTGTGTCAACAGAATGTCTTCCGCGAGGTGGGGGTGCAGCTATTCGGCCTGTTGCACGCCCAACATGACCTACACACCATGTGCCCTGGGGTTAGCTTCTCCACCGGATACAAAGGGCTTTGCAAGAAGGCCTCGCGCTATTTCCAATTGCAACGCCTTAGTGCCGACGTCAACTCGACTGCTTTGCACAGCCAGCTGACTGTATATACTGTATGTATCGTTCTTGCATGGGCATGCATTAGTGCCGTGCCCCATTTTTGACAGGAGGGGATCCCACCAGAACAGCATGTCTTGTCCTTCGCTGGCACTGTGCTGTCTGATGGCGAAGTCTTGACCAAGTGCCTTGATTGCTATATCACATTCGTACAGTTTGAGTGTGCTGGGCGGTTCCCGGACTGTTTTTAATCTTGGCCTGAACTTTAGAACTAGCTTCAACCAAAACGCATGGCATGTCAACTACTTGCTGTTGTGGAACGCGTCCAAACTTGAGGTACGGCATCAACGCTCAGGACTCGTCTTCGGGTTGATTGGTCTTGGCTGTCTTCTTTGAAGGTGTTGAGGTTCCGTTAAGTTTTCTAGTGGGGTCCTGGGCAATCTCGGCTGGGGAGTTTGATAAAAAGCCGTCCTGCCACGCGGCCCACAATATGTTGCGTCACCTCGGGTGAGGTTGAGGAACAGGAAAACAAATTCAAACTACTAGCACATGACAGATCTAACGCTGGAACAGATGCAACTAGAAACCGAGGAAGCATTTTGCAGAATGTCTCGGAGTCTTATAGGAGGACCCCTGCAAACAGGACTTTCAAAGCTTGGACGCCTCATTTCACGCCTACACGATCCCCTGGTTCATCCTCACACGACATTTTTGAACATGTGACCCCCACCTCCTCTCCTCCTTTAGACCTGAGCAGGATACCCTGGAGCTCGAGAAGATGCCTACGGAACCCAGACCTGTCCTGCAACCGCAATAGCAACAGATGCGTTGTCTTTGTTTGGGTGCGCGGATGCCCTTCTCAGAGCGCATTAGGCTTCGACTGGGGTTGAAAGAGCCCCACAAGGGTGGGCGCAAGACTTTGCTAAGAGATCACGCTTCTTCTATGAGCCATCTCATGGCCATAATTTTGCAGACGTGCTCAAAACCCGACATGCGCAAGACTGTGCAAGTGTGGGCGCAAAGAAGCCCTCACTGCTGCAGCATCGATACCAGAAATTAGTATATGTTGGTGATGAAGAGTGCTACTAGCTTTGCCGTACGTTGGTGGAGCTGGTCACTATCATCAACCCATAGTCTGCGCCGTCATCACATCTCTGCTGTTATGAAGAGTAAATAGTATCACTGCTATGATGACCACCTGAGGGTTCAGAATCCAGAGCACTCTCTTCGCAAAAAGCCAGGCCAGAGCATCATTGCGTAAAAGGTCTAAGGACCAGTGAGCCAAGGGTCACGGTAAGGGCGTGCTGAGCAGCTTGAGAGCTTTGGGTCAAAAGAGGTGCTCTGTGCTGGAGTTGCTTCCTTGACCTTGTCATAGCCGCAGAAAGCTTTGATCTCAGGTGTCGGTGATCTTGCAGCGAATAAACGGCGAAACCTCGAATTTTGAGGCTCTCTCGCACCATGCAAAGAGTGACTTTGAGGGCTCGCACTCTGTTTTATTAATGCGATAGTCTCCGGCGTTCAGGCTACTGGCGGATTGACAGGTTGCAATTGCATACTTGATTGGGGCTCGGAACATGGTCCCATCCCATCCCATCCCACCCCCGCTCCCACTCCTTGCGCCCCCCTCCGACCCCTTCCACCCCCTCCCAAGGGGTCACCTGTCAAAAACATCTTTCAGCTCTTCAAGCCCATCACCCCGAAGCAATTAATTATCGCTTGGAGGTGGCCGTGCTTCATCCCATCGACCCCAAGTATGCATAGAACAGTTGCGAACTTGGGGTCGCTTGTTTTGAGAAGGTTTGGACACCTCGTCTGCCCTTCGGCTGTACGAGCCCGGACCAGCCTCCACGAAATTCAAACTTCCGTCTTCCCTACGATCAACCTTGGCCCTGGATTCGTTGCAAGCCCAAGAGTGGGCCGTAAATCTGTGACCAGGCAACGTCCACCGACACGACCGAAAAGTTGAAGAGGCAGGCTTCTGTTGGCATTTTGGAAAGGAGCAGCTCGAGCATGAAGTCCACATTGAGCCCTTGTCTTGCCGTCCGGCAATTATCCCAGCATGCCTACACTAGGATGCCGCGCAACTTTGGGGAATTCCTGCACTGGATGGCATACGTGTTAATTACTCGTGCCCGTGCGGAAGCTTAAGCGCTAAGCTGCTTTGCTGCAGGCTTGGCCAAAGCTAATGTCTCTTGTGGCTTCTTATCGATAGAAGTTGGCCAGGTCCTCATACGGAAACGTGTCCTCTGGATAGGCGAATCTTCGAAGCCTTCGAAGTCCCGGAGGCCGAGCAGGAGCCTCCGGGCCGCAGAATGAGTACTTGCAGAACTGTCTGAGTGGCTTTACAAGCTGACATGCGAAAGCCTCCAGCTAGCTCCTTTCGTCAGTTAGCACTCGTATAGTCTTGAAGTATCTGCATACTTTAGGCATTTACTTGGGATTCCTCCAGGCTTGATTTGGCTGTTACTGTAAGTACTCCTCCATGAAGCACCTGTTGAGGACCAAGAGACGCCGGTGACATCCCATGAGTGAAGCTGACCTTGCGGCAATCATCTAATAACAGTGCCACAGAAAGTAATTACAGACTAGGACTAGGATAGTTTCTGGCTCAAGTCACCATTCCTGCTGGATGTTAGTCCCCAGATCCAAAACTAAAAGCCTTCTCTCACCGCCCTTTGCCTCAGGCTTTGCTTCCAGAGCCAGCGTTTGCAGGATGGGCAGAAACCCTTCGAGTTTCTGCCAGACTCTTGCATCAACAAAAGCCCGCTTTCAGCACTCCTGAAATGTTAAAATGTAGCGTACGGAAAGTCTCTGAGCCAAAGCCTTCAGTATTTCTAGTCTGCTTGGGCTTCTGGTGGGAGAGTTTGTGCGACTTCTTCAATCATTGGCGTCCACGTTGCAGCTCTTATCCCCAAGGTGAACATGCTGTCAACTTCTACTGCTCTTGAGGTGGATAGCTTAATGAGGTCTGTGTAGGTTGCTGTCATCACGCCACGACTTCTCCAGCCAAGGGATCCGAGCACACGATCACCTTGGTGAAGGTGGGAATGGTTTTGAGATGTTGGTGGTCCTAGGGCTTTACCCATTTCTTGTTTAGTCTTTCTCGCTCTCTCCTTGTCTTTGCCCTTTATTTTTTTTTGTAGTCTCTCCTTTCTGTAGCTTTTCTCTGCCCACCCTGTCTAGATTTCGCGCAGTCCGTCTATGTGTTTCGGTGCCGCTCTGCTGCTCGCACGCTGGAAGTCTTCTATTGCACGCTGGTCCGGCGCACAGGCAGCCAAGCCTCAGATGACACTATGCCTCCAGCCCTTGGCAAGCAAGTTCAGACAAGGTTCTAGGATTCCAGGGCTGGCAGCTTGCAAAGGAAGACCTGACTGATGTTTCAGGCAGGTCTGGCTGACCATCCAGGCTTCAAGTATGTTAAACCTAGTCATCATTGTTAGCATGGCAAACCTGATTCTTGCAAGCTGTTTTGAATGTTGCCGCTGTTTCCAAGATGGCTGCGTGACGTTTTGAGGTTCTTGAATGGAGGAAAGCCGCTTGGCTGCATCCTGCCCAAGCTTGTCATGGAGGCCCCAACCGCAACCGCAGCTGCAGGGCAGCTGAAACAGAAGAAACAGCAATAAGAACGAGGATGCCAATCATGTACGTAACAACGATTGCCAGGGTTCCTTTCATGAGAATACCGTGCAGCGTTTACTGGGCCTTTTATTGAGTGTACCTTTCCCAACGTACCTGACGTGGAGCTTTCCAAATTCCAGCCTGTGATGCTATCCTCCCGAGCAATGCCTACCAACTATGGCATTCTCCAGCTTACCAGGGCGGATGAGCTGGGGTTCAGAGAGGTAGGGAATCAAACGAGCCCCTTGGCCTGCATCACATGTCCAAGCGCCCTCGTACTCTTAGACTCTGAGGCTTTGTCCGAAAAAATCTGCAATACAAGCAGTGCCCAAAGCCTAAGAAGCTAATTATTGGATGTCAAAAGCTTTCAGGCATGTCTTTGGGATGGATTTCAATACTCTTTCTCAAGAGCAAAATCTGTGTGCTAATTGCCGACTTCTGCTTTCAAAACCTGGCTGCGTTAACTTCAGGCATGAGATGTCCGTGTATTGCAGCGACACGGTGGGGCAGCTCAAGGAGAGAATCCAGGCGCCAGAGTTGGCTTCTGAAAGTCTCCGCAGCAAGGTTGTTCGGAGTTGGCCTGAACATTCCAGAGAAGCTGGCTTGCATGTGCAACTCAGGAACCTGAATCAAGGGCAAGACTGTCCTTCTGGTGATGTTGTAATATGTTGTGACCCACTGTGCAAGACTATTCCAATCCTTGGGATAATTCACGCGAACCTGGAATAAGGTTGAGCCGGGGACAATTTTTGGTTCCCGTTTGTAGTGCATTTGGCTTCTGTATGCTTGAGGTGGGCATGACCTAGGATGACTATGATGTTCTGTGCAGATCGTTCCACTCACTCGCTCCCGCAAGCTATGCAAGCGCAGAGCCCGAAGGCAGGCAGCGCCGTTAATCCTTGAAGATCCAAGCCCTAAAGGCCCTAAACCCCTACATGATATAATCCGCGTACAGTCCCCACATATTCCACCTCCCGCCGCAAGTCTCGAAGCCTTTAAAACCAGAGCATTCAACAGGAAGCTCATGGCGTTCCAGTGGACCACCAGGTCCTTGTGATGCTTGGCTTATTTAGATGCAGTTTCAAGGTTCAGGAAATCTCGGGATGCAGTTTGCAATGTTGGAATGTTCACGGTAAGGTACTTAGTTTTCAGGGTATCGTCCCGGCCTGGATGGCGAATGTCATCAGGGCAGCTGCTTGAGCTCATTGTGCTGCTAGAAGTGCAGTGCAGCAGAGCAGCCGCAAGGATAACGAGAGCAAGTCGTGCAGTGTCTCCCCCTAAAGAGTCTACGTGACGAAGAGGGACTTTCGTTTCAACGGTTATGGTTTCGCATACGCAGCGAAACATTACTCTTCGTTCGTCGTTCGTGGTCGATGCGTTCAGCGTGCTATATATAAATCACTTGTAATCTTCTCAGAGACAAGCATGACGGGCACATCCATACATACCTGCCCTGACAAGGCGTTTCAGAGTTTCACGATAGATGTACTTCAACTCGAGACTCCGTCGGAAGCGCGCAGCCCAGCGGTAGAGCTTGCCAGGTACGCTGGGCAGCAACTGCAAGACATGAACAAGGTCTTGGGCGACTGCAACATTCAGGCCGCTGTAAGGGCACTTGATTTTGATTGTGTCTACAATCTGCAGCGAGGCTGTCAGTGATTCCATGGCAAAACGCACCACGTGGTTTTCAGACGTTGTTAAAGCGCTCCCGCTCCTGGCTGCTTGCCAATACTTTGCAGCTGAAGCATGCCCGATTTTGCCACGCTGTTGAAGTTGTCCCGTTTCCCGTCTCCGCGCACAACGGAAGCGGATTAAAATCATCTCTGTAATCAAAACCCTCGAGTGTACGCCTACAGTTGCATTACAGCTCCTACGAGTCCCCACTCGTAGGGTCCGTTTGGTACTCCAACTTGAAGAAACTCCACGGTCCCCAAGTGTTGGCAGGGGAACATCTTCTGCGTGGTGCGACCCCGAAAGCCGGGTAAGACCTACACAGTCACAGCAGCTTCGTGGTCAAGTAGACTTACTGGTGGATGTGGGCAGTGAAGGAGTAAGAAGAAAATGCAACTGTCAGCCTGTACAGGGGCTTATGGCGCCTGTTGCGCCCCCAGAATTACTCCATTCCCCATTGCCTACAAACTAGCCACCAGTAAGTACAAGCTTCCTGCAAACTTCTGCTAGCAAACCCGAGCTTGATGTCGGGCAGATTCAGGGCAACCTTGTTTGTGGTTGGGCAGGTTTCAGGACTTGGGGAACTCAGCAGCGTTTTTTGTGAGCTTGGGTAGCGGAGCAGCCTCGTGACGGAGCGGCAAGTGCCAGATGGATCTTGTGGGATGATGAGATATAGTTTCCGTTTAATATTCCATTATCCCTTGCTGAGCCCGCGTGAGAGAGAGATTCCATTATCCCAATATAACCCAATATAACCCTATAGAACCCCTATATTCTATCCTAACTGAAAGGGTCGACCTCATGGAACCGGGTGACAAAAACCCAACTCTCCGATTGGGAGAGTTGGCCTCGGAACCAGAAAATCCCCTGATCCCCGTGAGCAAAGCACAGGTAAGAGGAACTTGTATACCTGCATGGGAACGCCTCTAGAAAGCTTGAGCGCTGAGGGCCAGAGCATCCTTAGCTTGCAGTTTCCTCGAAGACCGAGAGAAGGGCTCCTGCCAATGCCGCATTCCCAACCACACCTTTCAAGCCCACATAGACTAACAGGCTAGCTAGCTCTGTAAGTAGAAGTCTGGTCTGTGCCGCAAAGGTGAAAGTTCTCAGCGGGCAGAGCTTCGATCTGGAAGTGGCCGCTGCAGACACCATCCAAGAAGCCACTCGAAAAAGAACAAGGCTGTTTCAGCCATAGTGTTAAGTTAGTAAGTGTAGAACGGAGGGCCTAGGATATTCGGATATCCGGGTTTCCTGGAGGCACTATTGCCTTTCTGCGAGAGTGTTGGTGTAAAGCCTCCAACTCTCAAACCTCGGTTTTGTTCCTTTTCACAAGTTGATTGATTGTGCTTGCATCTCAATCTCCTCATGCTTGCTTCTTCCTTGTCCCCCGATATGTTCCTTATGCCGTCAATCGCTAATCCTACAACAGAGATCCCCTGATGTGTTCAGCTTCTTGTTTCCATTGTACTTACATGATGCTGACTTCCTGCAACCTTGCAGGTCAAGACACAGCTTGAGAAGCGCACCAGCATTCCTCCAGCGACTAGGCGGCCATGAGGGAAAGGCTAGGTTTCCATCACACACCTGAAGCAACGGACATGCCTTACAAGCATGATCTTTGAAGGAGAGCCCTAGAAAAGTCCAGCATCAGGGATGGGCTCCTTGCCGTAAAGTCAGTCAAAGATTTCAAGCTTCTCAGGGAGTATGCTGATGACTTGGGTCGCAAAGCTTTATGGACGCCTAGGATGTTAGCAGTTGCTGTTAGGCTTTATGACTGCTTGAGTCCAATTGTGTACACTGTGGAAAAGTGATGGCAAGATGGCATGAGTAGGTCAGTCAGTCTCGCATGAACGGTTGCAGAAGCGCTTAACCTGCATTTTAAGGGTCAATGTCCTCTCAACAACAGCCTTCTCAGTGAGCCTGTTCATGCCTGATGTTCGTGCAACATTCTTCATTGGACCTAAAGAGCTGGAGCCGTTATGTAAGTGAGGTTCAAAGTTCTTGGGACGAAGCACGAGGATTGATTCCATCACGAAGCTTTGAGTGTAAAGGGTAGCATATCTCCTGCCTACCTCTCCGGCCTAGAGTTGCGGTTGATGTTCATGGTCTGCCGCGCACAAAGGAAAAACAGCGGCTGGTTTTCGCGGGCAAGCAACTGTCTGCCTCTTGGCAGTCCGCAGAGTAAGCTTTTGGCCTAGCGGAACCTTTATTACCAACGAAATGCACTTAGAGTAGAGCTTCCGACAGGCACATGAACTTTACACCAAGAGAACGAAGCAGCTAGAAATCCAGCGGCAATCTTCCTCTGTGCGAGCAACAGTCTTATGCAAGTCTTCTTTCATAGTTTGGGATGCTGATCGGAGCACATTGTTGAGCACAGGGCTTGATGCCAGTCCCGAGTTAAGGCACAAGTTAGTGTAACCATACAGAAGTGAGCCGGTTCTGGTGCTGGTGTGCGGAATCTCACAATGCCTCAACGGGGCCAGTGCGTGTAAAACTGGGTGGGCATGTCGAAAGCGGCTCCTGAAAATCTAGTCACAGGACATCTACAATGCAAACGCTAATTCCACGGCGAAAATCGACCCGGAAATGGCTCTTCCAAAGTCACGGCATGCCGAGCCAGAGCTGAAATTCTGAACTGGAGAAGCTGCCCAGGACTCCTCCACAGTCGAGGACTGCAAAATCACGGAGGGGCAGCTTGGCTGCAGAGGGCCATGGTCAATAGCTTGAACAGTTCCGAGGTGCCTGCAGACTGCTCAGAAATATTGCTGTGAGAACCTGAGTCAACCAGAGCCTGGAACCAACACGCCCAGAGCCCTGCAATAGTGTAGACGAAGGAATACGCTTCATTTGGTGGTGCGCCTTGCGGTGTCTGGTGAATACGGCTCCTCCACCTCTTCCTCTGCCAGCGCGCCCTGCAACTTACGTGGCACCTGTGAGAGCCCTGGCGCCTGCGGTCTCCTCAACCTCGGGAATACGTGCCTTTGGCCAAAGGTGCGTAGGGAGCTTCGGGGAGTCAATGTGCCGGTTTCGTGCCTGCGTTGTGATTGTGTTGTCCAAGACCTGGCAGTTGTACAAATGTTCTGCCGCTAGCAACTGCTTTGAGATCAAGGCGGCCAGTTGCGTGTTTATATGCGACTTGCTGTCACTTCCACAGTAGTTAGGAATTGTGGGAAAGGACGACAGGTTGCTGCTGGCACATTCAAGCGAGGTGCTACCTGAACTCCACCCTGCAAGCCCTCTCCAACACCGTGGCGTTGCGGCGGTACTACGAGGAGGGCCACTACAAGGCAGACATCAGCAGCACGCCTGACAGCATGGGAGGCCCAGGGCTCTTGGGACTTCAGAGAATTGTCATTCAAATTCGCATCCAATGCCTTGAAGAGAAGGCATGTCTCAGAGCATAGTGTGAATAGAGGGATGGAAAAGCAGTGGCTTCGGCGGTTCAGCGGTGAAAGCTTGCACTTGTGGATAGCATTCGTGGGCTTTAGTTTTTAGAGGCACCGCCTCTGCGCCTCAAAGACCTGCAATTTGCAACTTGCTTTGTTGGTCATTGCTAGTCTTCAGGGAGGCAGTGGGGAGGTAAAGCAGACAAAAGCTCATACTCAATCTTAGGGGGACTTATGACGAGCCGGTCTCCTGAAGGACGCCTGGCTGATGGCTTCGCAAATCTGCTGCGCTCAATTTGGGGCAACGAATTCACGATTGTGAAGCCACACGAGGCCGGGCATGATTTTGTACCGCTTCGGTTCAGGTAAACACTTATTCCGAGGCACAGGCTGTCTCGAGTGTCGGGTTCCTCAGCCTAATGTTGCGCGCAAGTTATGTGCGATATACGTAGATTTCTGCGCGTACTCATTCTAGCTTTGCATTCGTTCTTCTTGCTCCGGCAATGGGCAGTAATGTTCCCAGGCCTGATGTCATAAGACAACACGAGCACAGCCTAAACTCCAACGATAGGAAGCCTATATAGTCCATGACCTAGTTCTCCTGCGGCTGATGTCTTCACGCGGAACTGTACGGTTGCCCAAAGCCCAAGGCTAGTGGTTGCTAGCTGCCGCCCGTGTCTTGAAACTGCCTGAAACCCCTGCACTGTATGCCACATTTTGGCACTTCACGACGGTTGCCGTGGCCTTTTGCAGTATGCGTCGCCTTCATTTCGCTGAAGGGTTTGATCGATAGAGGTACACGATGGAGTTGTCCGCGCCAGGTTATGCCGTAAGTTTGTACAGAGGCAAGTGCCTCCCCAACAGTGACCGACTCGGGCTCCGATGTTCCACTAAGGTACCCTTGCCACAGCAAACCCAGCTGCACAACCGTGGAAGTCCGATTTTGATTTCAACAGAAATCCGAACAGAAAGAATGTCTTTAAACTGGCACCGGAGGTCCGCAATCTGATCTCCGAGAAGTGGAGCCAGTTTGCCGGCTACAGACAGCATGATGCCCAAGAGCTTTTGATGTTCCTGCTTGACGGCTTGCATGAGGATGTGCCCCTCAGCTGACGATGGACTGCTTGTGGTCATCTACAGGTCGGTTACCTCCTGAATCATCTTCTGCAGGTGTAGAAAAGCTAAGGAATCATGTGGCACAGAGTCAAGCTAAGAGGCAGGGTCCAGTTTTCCTCAGTTTTCCTCAGCGTGGGCTCGCTGGATATTTCTGCTGATAAAGCCACAACATACACATGACAGAGTTTTTCCCCGCTCAGACGACTATTGTACAATCCTCCGCATACTACTCCCCCCAAGACAGCCCATGGACTATGCCCTGCAGTCCCCACGGAGCCCTTCACTTCGCTAAGATGAAGATGATTTGCCTAAAGCTCTACCGATGAAATGGGAGTCCCTCGAAACACTCCCCTGGAGACCCCTAATAGGGACCCACCCCCAAAATCCCCTGTTTGAGAAACCTCCAACTTAGGAGGCGAGCTACCCCACAGCGGCCAATCCGGGACAACACCTCGGAATCCGCCTCTTCGCATGGTGACGCCAGCGAGTCGCAGGACCGGAAGCAGTGATTCCCCTTTGAAGTGGGGTGCAGTAGTTTTCATAGATAAGGGTTTTTCGACAGCCAAACCATTGTAATCCTAAATAGTGGAAGCACCCGCCGAGGGACCTTTAATTTTTGGATACCAAAAGTTGTCAGAGACATTGGAAATTCTTTTATGGCTTCGAAACCTTCACTATCAATCTTCTTGTCGGACCTCTTTTAGGGTACCTGCTGGAGTGAACCAGC